AAACACCTTGCGAAAGGAGGAAGCTCCGGTAGAAAGGTGTTTCTATTGCCGCAAGCCTCATGTGTTACATGACTGCGAGCAATTTATGCTGTTAACTCCTGGCGAACGGTACAAATACGCAAAAACGAGCCAGCACTGTCTCCAATGCTTGTCGTCCAAGCATTTGGCCAACGATTGCCCATCGCCGAATCGGTGTAACAGATGTGATGGGAGACACCACGAACTGTTACATTTCGAGAAATGGAATTCGGCGGGTAATGTACAGCCTGCACCGCAGAACAATGCCGAACCGAACGAACCGAGATCATCGAACGGTAGATTCAGAAGGAGGAGGAACAACTCCAAATCGACAAGTACCAGTAAGCCAGTGTCGTCTCACTGCGGTACCATGTCCGGCAACGCGGGACATTCAGTGCTGCTCGCGACTGCCCTTGTGCGTATTCACGGGCCTAATGGAACGTCGCGAGTCGCTCGGGCACTCCTGGATCAGGGGTCCGAGGCCTCCTTCATCTCGACGACNCTGCAACTGCGGCGGCTTCAGCGCAGTCGGCCTCGAATCAGCCTCCTCCGTTGTATGGCTATTCGCCCTTCAGACTGCCCGAGACGAAAATACCTCGGTTTAAAGGAGATCCTCGCGAATGGTTCAGTTTTCGGGATCTCTTCAGAGCAGTCATAATTGACAATCGGCATTTATCCGATTCACAACGCCTGCAGCAGCTGCGTACCTGCATTGATGGTGCTGCCTTACGGTCAATTGTCAACCTGGAAATTTGTGATCAAAATTTCCAGGTCGCGTGGAATACGCTTGAGAGACAATTCGCCAAGGAAAGGGTAGTTGTGAAAGCGTTATTGGCTCCGTTGCGGGAGCTTAAGACGATTAAAAAGGATAAACTGGAGAGCATCGAACAGGTGACCATCGATCTGCAGCAGATGGTCGAAGCTCTGCGAAGATGGGACTGCCCGGTGGAACACTGGAGCATCCTCTTGGTTGACAGAGTCACCGAAAAGTTTGATGAGAGCTTGAATTTAGAGTGGGAAGAATCGATTCAGGACACTGATCGGTTTCCGACGTTCGAAAGGCTCGTACGTTTTCTGGAAATGAAAGCAGGTGCCCTGCGATCGGTCCAAGGGAGACCAGCAGCTCACAAGCCCGAACGATCGCGCACCGAGAGAACTCGAGTGCGTTCCCATGCAAACACCTTGCGAAAGGAGGAAGCTCCGGTAGAAAGGTGTTTCTATTGCCGCAAACCTCATGAGCTACATGACTGCGAGCAATTTATGCTGTTAACTCCTGGCGAACGGTACAAATACGCCAAAACGAGCCAGCACTGTCTCCAATGCTTGTCGTCTAAGCATTTGGCTAACGATTGCCCATCGTCGAATCGGTGTAACAAATGTAGTGGGAGACACCACGAACTGTTACATTTCGGGAATTGGAATTCGGCGGGTAATGCACAGCCTGCACCGCAGAACAATGCCGAACCGAACGAATCGAGATCTTCGAACGGTAGATTTAGAAGGAGGAGGAACACCTCCAAATCGACAAGTACCAGTAAGCCAGTGTCGTCTCACTGCGGTACCATGTCCGGCAACGCGGGACATTCAGTGCTGCTCGCGACTGCCCTTGTGCGTATTCACGGGCCTAATGGAACGTCGCGAGTCGCTCGGGCACTCCTGGATTAGGGGTCCGAGGCCTCCTTCATATCGACGAGTTTGGCAGATGACCTCCAACTCGTACTACAGAAGACTCCAGCGGTGGTTACTGGACTCGGAGGCGAACGGACTGCGAACCTGAGATACAGCGTCGACGTAGGGCTCGGAACGGTAGACAGCGAAGAGGCGACGCTACGAGCGAGAGCGCTCGTAGTGTCCAAAATAACCGCATACACTCCGCCACAGGTCAGTGTACCCTTGAACGAGCTGTTCAAAGACCTTCAACTAGCGGATCCCGAGCCTACTGCGAATAAGCGCATCGACTTGCTGTTAGGAGCAGATATATATGCGCTGATCTTAAAAGGAGGTATACGTCGGATTGACGAGAATTCTCCGATCGCGCAGGATACCGTGTTTGGCTGGGTGCTCTCCGGACCATGCAAAGGCACAACGCCCGTACGCAACATTAGAGCGTTACATTGTAACGTGCTAGAATCGCTGGACGAAGCGATTCGGCGTTTTTGGGAAGTGGAAGCTGTACCCACGAAGGCTCCGAGAACTCAGGAAGAGGAAGAGTGCAATGCACATTTCTCTAGACCGGTCCAGCGGACGAAGGAAGGCCGGTTTATCGTCCGCCTTCCCTTCAAGGTATCGCATCCGGAGATTGAGCTGGGAGATTCCCTACGTTGCGCTCTCTCCGCGTTGACGCGATTACGAAAGAAACTGGACCAGGAGCCGACGCTCGTAAAAGAATACGGCGAGTTCCTGGCGGAATATGAATCGATGCATCATATGACGAAGCTCAGGGCTATTGAGCCGTCCCGACTCTACATTCCGCATAGGGCCGTAGTTCGGGCAGACAGCATGATGACCAAATTACGAGTCGTTTTCAATGCGTCGAGTGTCACTTCGAGCGGACGCTCGTTGAATGACATTCTTCATATCGGGCCAAAATTGCAACGGGATATGACTATTATCCTAACGAACTGGCGGTTGTACCAATTCGTTTTAGTGGCGGACATTGAGAAAATGTTCCGTCAGATCCTCGTTGCCCCGAAAGACCGACGCTATCAGTGCATAGTGTGGCGTGCACCAAAAGCCGAACAGCTTACGGCTTTTGAATTGAATACCGTGACGTATGGTACGGCATGTGCCCCATACTTGTCAATGCGAGCCCTTCTCGAACTCGTGCGAGAGGAAGGAGCGAATTTCCCTCTCGCCGTTCCAGTTTTAGAGAAGGACGTGTACGTCGACGATGTGTTCATCAGTGCACCTGATAGGAATCGAGTAGACCTCATTCGAAATCAGGTGTGCCAGCTTCTGCAAAGAGGAGGTTTCCACTTGAGAAAGTGGGCGGGAAATTCAGCGGACTTGCTGCGAACTATCCCGGTCAGTGAGCATTCACACGCCGTCGATCTTTCTCTGTTTGAAGATTCAGAGTTAAAGGTGTTAGGCTTACGATGGGTACCATCGGCGGACTACTTCTATTTCAATTTAACTCGATTCCAGCCGTCCGTAACTCCGCCGACGAAGCGTTCTTTGTTCAGCGAGATTGCGAAGCTCTATGATCCACTTGGTTGGCTGTCACCAGTGGTCATTAGAGCAAAAATACTGATGCAATCGCAGTGGTTGGAGAAAATCCACTGGGATCAGGCAGTATCGATGGAAACTCACAGAACGTGGAATCACTTCTGTGAAGACTGGGTTAAGTTGAACAGGTTGAGAATTCCGCGATGGATTGGCATAGAAGCAGACGTAAGTTCCGTGGAGTTGCACGGCTTCTGCGATGCATCGCTCGCCGCGTATGCCGCCGCCGTGTACATACGAGTAACAACGGCTAAGAACAAGGTGGTAACTTCCTTGTTGATGGCGAAGTCGCGAGTCGCTCCCATCAAGACGCTCACCGTCCCAGTTCTGGAACTGAACGGGGCCCTCCTCCTCGCCGAACTGTTAAAACATGTGGCGAGTTCGCTTGCAGTACAAGCAGAGCGGATTTTCTGTTGGACAGATTCCACGATCACGCTCGCTTGGATCAGAAAACATCCGTCGACCTGGAAGCTGGTCATAGCGAACAGGGTGTCAAAAATCCAGACCACGTTGCCCACCGCGGTTTGGCGGCATGTTCCAACGCGTTCGAACCCTGCCGATCTGAACTCCAGAGGAGTCGAGGCAGAAGAGCTTCTGGAAACGAAGCTGTGGACGCAGGGACCCATTTGGCTGCAACAATCGGAAGCGGAGTGGCCTGTAACCCCTGCTTCCGTTGACACCGACGAGGGTAAGCGTGCGTCCTACGCCCACGTCACCACCCCGAAGAGAGAATGGGAGGTACTGTCNGCGCGGATGAGTTCGCGACCCTCACACCTGGTCATTTTCTGGTGGGCGGTCCGCTGAATGCGCTTCCGCGGGAAACTGTAGAAATGGAAAAAGTCACGCGGCTTACGCGTTGGAGAGTTCTACAGAAATTCCACGAACAACTCTGGAGACATTGGACGAGGGATTATCTCATCTATCTCCAACAGAGAAATAAATGGCAAACCACCCAAGCGCAGTTGCAGCCTGGCGATTTGGTTCTAATACAAAATCCTCTCGTTCCTCCTAATCATTGGGAGATGGGGAGAGTTGAGAAAGTATTCCCGGGAACCGACGACAATGTAAGGGTCGTTGAGGTTCGTATAGCTAAACATACATATAAGCGGCCGATCACGCGAATGTGTAAATTAGCTGTCGATTAAATTCCCGTTGGTATTAAATTCGCCGAGAATAACATAGAACGATGGGCTATAAAGTTCTTATGGTATCGGCTGTTCACGGGTATACGAGGCAAAGGACTTAGATGAGAAACAAAGACTCGATCGTATGATCGGTGTTTGGGCATCGGTCTTTGTCACTCGTACGGGCGGTCGGATTAAGGAGTCGGTACGGTACGATACCATCTCCTTACACCGTTCCCGAAGACAAACTCGTGGAATTTCGGATTTTGCCGATTCCGTGAACTCGCTGGACAGTCAGTCAGTTAGCAACGAGCAACGATGGCAAACGACGGCAATCGAAATGGAAACCGAGGCCACCGCGGAGTTCAACACCAAATTTGAACAATGTCTCACGCTGGCTTATGTAAAGGGAACGACCCGAAAGCGACCAGCCATGGACACCGCCGAGCAGGACGCGGTGGGCCTGCCCTGCGATGAAGTACCACCTCGAACGGACCCCGTGCCGCCGATCGCTGCTTCTTCAGGCGAAAGGATATCGCCTCGCCAGGAGCAAGCTGGACCAGAAGCGGAGCGACGGACATCACGGGACGAAATAATTATTCCTCTCCCGCACTGTANGATGGGGAGAGTTGAGAAAGTATTCCCGGGAACCGACGACAATGTAAGGGTCGTTGAGGTTCGTATAGCTAAACATACATATAAGCGGCCGATCACGCGAATGTGTAAATTAGCTGTCGATTAAATTCCCGTTGGTATTAAATTCGCCGAGAATAACATAGAACGATGGGCTATAAAGTTCTTATGGTATCGGCTGTTCACGGGTATACGAGGCAAAGGACTTAGATGAGAAACAAAGACTCGATCGTATGATCGGTGTTTGGGCATCGGTCTTTGTCACTCGTACGGGCGGTCGGATTAAGGAGTCGGTACGGTACGATACCATCTCCTTACACCGTTCCCGAAGACAAACTCGTGGAATTTCGGATTTTGCCGATTCCGTGAACTCGCTGGACAGTCAGTCAGTTAGCAACGAGCAACGATGGCAAACGACGGCAATCGAAATGGAAACCGAGGCCACCGCGGAGTTCAACACCAAATTTGAACAATGTCTCACGCTGGCTTATGTAAAGGGAACGACCCGAAAGCGACCAGCCATGGACACCGCCGAGCAGGACGCGGTGGGCCTGCCCTGCGATGAAGTACCACCTCGAACGGACCCCGTGCCGCCGATCGCTGCTTCTTCAGGCGAAAGGATATCGCCTCGCCAGGAGCAAGCTGGACCAGAAGCGGAGCGACGGACATCACGGGACGAAATAATTATTCCTCTCCCGCACTGTACGCTCCGCATACCGGGGCACATTCCTACTGGGGCCCGAAAATATCGGTGTAAGGTGCCCCAAGGACGGTACGTTCTTCGATGTAACGAGGAGGGCATCCTACATTCGATGGTGCTGAAACCTGCGAGCAATACTGCGGTGATCGCCCAGCCACGAGCGAGGTCAGTACGTGCACTGGCACCGACGTCCGTACAGCCTGCAGTCCAGCCTGCGGCCCCGCCATCAACCAGCCGTAGGCGACGAGGACCACGAAGGCGACAGGACAGAAGTCCGGACCAACGGTATCTGCCACAGCCGCGAGGAAGAAACCCCGGGTCTGGAAGCCGCCAGCATTAACATCGGGCAGAGCGACGATCGGACCGACGTATGCCGACCTGGCCGAGCGGCGATCGCCAAGGACGCGGACCAGGGCGTCGAAACGAAGGACAGGCGCTACCGGACGAGCACCGGAATCAGTTAGGTCTCGCACTGCAGGCGACGTTAAACCTCCTCGGTTTTGGGTGAGTCCACTTGCCATTTTTTATTATTTCCGCGAGTAATTTGTATGTGCTCCCTTCCGCCCTTCTGAATTGCGCGGATCGCGCAAGGGGGGCGGTATGTTAAAAATACGCATAAATCGGAGTGGTCAGCATGAGATACATGCGCCTCCGCACGTATTGCATCAGAACGGAAAATTAGTTCGGAGGAATTAGCGGTCAGCTAATTCCTTGATAAATTGAATA